TTCATCAGGGGCTAAACTCGCCATAGTGAAAACTTCAAGTATTCACTTCCAGGTTTTCGCTCTGCAGCACTCATATGTAGTATAATACTATAGAAAGCTATGGTTAGTATATATACTTAATATGAGTGATACCAAAGCAAAACCTGTAAGCAAATTTTGAGGTATCAATAAAGCGAGTTTGCCCCTGGAAAAATTGTGATATGACGTATTAAATCATTGTATACAATCAGTGTTCTGGTTGTCCTTATCACTCATATAATATCAACATATATAAATATATAGCATTGAAATTAAATATTTTAAATATTAGATAGACTTATAAAGTCTACAACTTTATAAACGTGAATTATATACCAACTAACTAACAATACATCGATTCACTTAATCAATATGCAGGTTGTAAATTATGATATAAGCATGTATATATGGGAATGGAATTTAAGGAATTTTCTAGTTAAATTAGGGTTAGAGTTAGGGTGTATATATGATAAAATCAACCCCCAAAACGGGGGTTTTATATATAAATTCAGAATCCACTTAAATTCTGTTTCCACTTACAAGATATATACGTATGTATGTTGTGGAGTAATCTGGTCGTAGTTATCGAAAACGTGATCCAAGCTATATGACTCGGGACCCGAAATGCGCATTGATCGAAGGCATTTAATAATGCTAATTCGGGTTTGGCTTGAGGCGAAGCTTCATTTAAAACAATAGTAAGGCGTCTCTGGTATTCACATGGTGGGAACTAAAGTAATAGTCATGTAAATGTGTATGAATTGCTTATCATTCGTTAGCCATAAAATACCGATGCTCTTGCCAAATTGCTTGTAAGATCTTAATCGTAGTAGCAAAGCCCAATGCTGTTTGTAATGTATAAAAGCCCATTGATTTCATGTAATTAAATGAAAAAAAAGTGTGTCTAGATAAGTAAGAATCATAATAATAAAAACCACTTAACCCCGGGATCCTATTGACAGTTGGATCCCTGGTTCTCGAACCAAGTCTTCTACGCCTTCTTTCGAGTAGCCTTAATCTTGTGTTTTAGGTTGTGAGACCCGTGACCCAAAATCCATAAAAAACGGGATCTTCGATTAATTTTACCAACGATTCAACGAGTAATTAAAAGAAAATGATTGGAAATGAATCATCATCCACTAATAATAACGAATGGTCTGAGTATTTTAAAATTTTAAATAATTATATTGAAGAAAGTAAAAAAGAATTAGACTGGATAGAGATTGAGGCTTATATAAATTATGCTGCAATAAACAAGATTTATAGAAGGTTGTTAAAAGAATGAGTTGTATCGCAGAAAGATAAATCAGT